CTGTCTCTCACTGTTCAAATAAACCTACCATTGAAATTATAGACTGATCATGTCTTTGTCAGTGGGCAAACGTACAAAATCAGCAGGGGATCAAATACATTTTTCCCTCACTGTATGATCTCTCCTTGTCTTTTTTCACATATGGGTAATTTACATTTTCCCCACCCACTTAGGCCTTTTGTAGCCTATCGGCTGGGTAGCATTCGATTCGGCTGCAGATCATAGCAATCATCATGTTCACTTGTCAGTTCGTTACTTAAACAAATATATCATGCCTTTAGCCTACCAATTAATGAGTTGTCATTTAGGCTGCATAGCCAATAGTCATTCAAGTGTTATTCATTTAAACAGATCGCCTGAGTGGTGCTGTGATTATTCTCTTTTCAATAGGCATTTGACTGAAGGTATTAAAAACACATACTTTTCTCTTTTGTGTCTTTGATGTGGTGGGTGTAATAGTCCATGGTTCACCTCAGTTCAGTTCAATAGTCAAGTGCCCTATCTGTCGTACATTGTCTGTTGAGAGGCTGTCCTGTAGTCTATACAGTGCATTCTTTGCCATTTCCACCGTTCTCCTTGTCCAGGTTATCCAGGAATCGGGTAGGGCCTATCTTATTTTGCGGATTTCAGTGTGATGTCGCTTTCATATAATTTGACCCGTAGTTGTGCGGGGTACACCAGAGTACGGGCTCCATTTTTCCCATAGCTTTTTCTTTATGGGGTCGAATTATCTGCGTTTCATGTAGAGGTCTATGTTGATGTAGATCCGATGGCCCACATACATCAAAGGTCCTGACTCCTGACTTTTTGGGCTTGGATGGACAGTTGTAGAACTGTATCTTTGTCCCTATAGTTAAGGAACTTTGCGATGATAACCATTGGTTTGCTGCTCATGTCCCCTCTTGGGCCGCCTGTTCGATGTGCTCGTTCGATTGTGGGAGCCCATGTGAAGTTCTCCTGGCCCAGTTGTGGTATTACCTTTTCCAAGAATTCTTCCATTCCGGTTGTTCCACAGCTTTTGGGGAAATTTACGAAACAAAGATTTGAACGGCGACTGAAGTCCTCCATCCCGTTTGATCTATCAGTAAGCCCTCTAATTATGTACTTTTGGTCACCCACAGTTTTCTGGAGATTTTCTTGTGCGATTTTCTCCAGGCTTAAACCGATTTCGGCCTCCTCCACGCGTTTGCCCAGTTCAGTCATATCAGTTTTTATTTTTTGACATCATCGAATATTTTCTTCATCTGCTTACACAGTTTCTCATTGCCAGTGCGACTTTCTGTTAGTAGTATCTCTAAACCAGTGCTTAATTTGTAAATCGAGAGTTGCTGGAACAAAAAGTGAGCGAGAAAGGGGGATGACCTGGGGAGCTCTGAGGTACCGGAACACATTAGAAAAAAAATCACCTTTATAATAAAGCATTGCATGCATATCATCAGCATTTGCGTAGTGGCATAGCGCAGTAGAGTCGAGACACTTACAGAAGTTGCACACTTGGGGAACGTTTTTAATAGCCTCGGGTTCGGGAAAAATGTGTCCTTTTATACACGCATTTCATTTACATGACTGGAGACTTTCGCACAATCTTTTCTTTATAGGCCTACTGCACAAATTATTGAAATGACAGGCTACTTTGACGCTGACAAACTGAGAATTTGAGATTAATAAAAACGTCATTTTCTTGAATCCATAAATAGCCTAGGCCTAGCTAGGTGTGTGGAGACATATTGTAGGCTACAATATGAAGAGGGAGTTATAGTCCTAAAAATGCTTTCCAGTTTCACTGAATTCACCCAATGATGTGCAGCTCACTCACGGGTGATGGCCCATGCGTTCGTGCCAAAAGCCTATAAACAGAGTTGCAGGCTCATATCTATCACAGCTGAGAGAGGGAGAGAGATCATATGAAGTGAATCTTATTCTAGTTCTGTGAGAGATACAGGCGCGCCTCTCGTGCAAACCATAAACCCGGGCCGGCCCAACGTGAATCAACTATTAGAATATCAGGCCCAGCCTGAAAATCTATTTTTCAACTACTACTACTACTAGTTTGATGGTTGTAGCCATCAATTGTCCCATTAACAATTACCCATATTAGCAAACATATTTAATTTCAAACTTCACATTTCTCTAGTAGGCTACATGTCGTAATGAACGATATCAGAAAAATGCCTGCGATAAGTGATCGGTATGGTCGGTGGCGATAATTTTTGGTTTATCGGCCCAGCTCTATATTGACATGACATAATAATAACCGCAATATATGTGTAGTATATTGCATATGAAGTAAGGTAGTCTTTTTCCATTTCACATGATGTCTTACGTCTGTTTCTGTTATGTAGGGATTACTCAGTTCGAGAAGATGGCTCCTCATGTCATTGACTCACCTGCCCATCCAACTCATTACTCAAATTCTGGGAGGTAGGCTGCAAGGTGACACATGACACAGTATATTCTTGCTAGGTCAAGTGTCAGTTCAATTACATTAAACAAAATGACATTTAGGACCCTGGCCACAGTATCTGGACAAGTTTATGTGTAACTGGTATACTGGATTACCATCTGTAAATGAATAAACTGTATTTCTATCAATTTGTTTTTTATTTAACAGTAATATGTCACTGTTTTGTGCAGTAGGATGGGGCTCCTGGTACGACCATGTGAAAGGTTAGGCTCCTGGAGGGAGAAAGAAACAAAGCCAATTCTCTACCTTTTCTGAAGGCAGAAAACATGAGGGTAGGCTACATTTCTGTTGACAATAGGATTGTGGTGTTACAAAACAAAGTGAAACATTTCTGAGTGAAATAACTCATAGTTGGGGTCAGGAGTGTTTTCCTGACCACCTGACCAGAAAACCACCTGGCACTAGCATAGGCCATAAATAAGATAGGGCCTGGAATTTTTTCCAAGTCAGGTCACATGGTCAGAGAAACTCCCGGCCTTACTCATTATATATCGTTTAAATGAATACTGAGAGAATACCACTGACTCTAATTTAGACTCAAATACATTTTCTTCTCAGGACCCTGCTAGGGAGATTCGCTGCCATGAACATTCGCTGCCATGAAAGAAAACCCCATGGCCATCTACTCCGCTGTACCTAATGCCGTCTTTAATCGGCAGGCATCTGAATTCCTAAGGAAAGGTGAGTTTGTGTGTGTGAGAAAGAGAGGATGGGGGGGTGTACACATGTTTGCCTAATCAGTGACTATTCCGTTTGTGTATTTTCAGAGGAGAGGTCGGGAACTGGCAAAATAATTTCAGTCCACAGGAAAACACTGAATTTGATGAGCAATACAGCAAAATTATGGCAAGAAATACCATTCCATTCCACTTTTTGATCTAAGCAACACTTCAAACCTGCATCCATCACTCCAGAACTGGATCGATTGTTCATCAACAAGTTTGCCTCACAAACTGCATAGCCTGCTACCTGACTGTATGGACATTCAACAATGATACTGTTGCCTTTCCAAGATATCGATGTCATCATGGCACCCAAGCAACATACTCGATGAACTGCCTGAAAATCAACGTAGATGTTTACAATGGTTGAAATCATGTTATTTAATGATTACAAATAAACTACACTGATAAGTTAGGATTTACTTGAATGCACCCCAAATGCATCTGTGGGGTCCAACCCCAAGGTTACCAAAGTATACGTTGTCTGGTCTTTTGCATCCCAACGCAGGTAGCAGGCAATACATTCCTAACCCCGTGACCAACGAGTACATAAAACATCCTCCATTCAGGCTGCAAAGGCATCGATTTCCTCCTTAACTAGCTTTAATGGCGTGCAGCCGGCAAAGAAACCAGGGGAAAATATGTGAATTGTCTTAATAAAACACAATTTTCCACCACCATGCTAGGGTGGCTAATGCTACTCCCATACGCCTTTGTAGCCTCAATGGAGGATGTTTAAATGTACTCAGTGGCGTCATGCACCCCCAAAATCTGAGGGGGCACAAAGTACGTGAGGATTGCTGGGTGGTGGTCCGGAGGGGGCTTTTTCCCCTGTCCGTAAGTTGGAGAATTTTGCATTTTTCAAACACCTGAAACAGCTTTTTCCTTCTATCTAGAACCATAACTATTACACTTAATTCTATGTTAAAAAAAAGATGTATATTTTTCTGCATATCTAAGCATACCTATTGAGCTGTCTGTATCCTCCTGGCTGGTGGTTCTTTTTTTAAAGAAACAAAAAATGCTTCTCTGCTCAAATCTGGTTACAAGATTGAAAAGAATGTGAGTCTTATTCAGTACATTTAGTTATTGCTTGCTTTTCTAAAGTCGACCAACCTTGCCAGCAGGCATGCCAGCTAAAATAGTTAGACAAGCTAGCTACTCTAACTATATCTAGTTATGAGGTTGGGAGATAGGTTCCCAATCTGGGCTAGCTAAAGCCAACTTTATAAAATTGTGGCTAGTAGTATTACAGAGAAAAGACAGGACAAATCTGAGCGGGCACGTAACCCTGTGCCCCCTATGGGCATGACACCTCTGTATGTACTCAGGGTTAGGAGTGTATTGTCCCCTACGCTATACATGTAGGATCTATTTGACCATTTTCTCAAACCAGGAAAACAATCCTGCAGCAACAGGAAATGTGAATTATTGTGTGGATTATAATTAATGGACATTTTTGTAGGGGTTGATACATTTTTAGTCTGACATTTTTAAGTGGAAATTACTAATAGGCAACTTAGTTATGGTACTGGGACAATCACAGGACTTCATAACACTTCCAAATACATTATTTTAATGCCATTTGCCCAAGTGAAGGTTTATTTTTTTAAGTACATTTAGGGTGTATTTTTTGCCACACATACAGTATTTTAGGTTATATGTAGGGTAATTCACTGTTTCTTTTTCTACAAGAATTAAACATGATCTTTATTTAAAGTCACCTTTTTTTATGCATTTCACATAAATCAAATTTTATTGGTCACATACACATATTTAGCAGATGTTTTTGCGGGAGTAGCGAAATTAAAGGTTTGTTTCAATGACTGCCCTTGACTCTGACCTTTGAACAGCACGATGAATGAGCAAAGCTCAGTGTTATTTAATCATAGGGACATAAACAGCCGAAGATGTAGTAATTTAAACTTTGAAATTATTGAAGGATCATGTCAATTGACCAACGGGCGTGGTCTTATCTTTTATCGAAATATAATTGTTGCTATGAAATGACCTATTTCCGAAATTAGCCTATAATTTCAATAGGTTTGATATCGCAACTATAGATATAGGGAAACTTTAGCCTAATATTGTAGCGATTTACCGCAAATGTTATACTTCATTACTTCGTTTCTTCCGAGTTTACCTGGATGGCTGACGCTGGACGCAAACCCTCTGGACAGTTTACTCCAAGGTGAGATTTGTGTATTGTTTCAGGCTACTCCAGGTAGGTCGGCGCTAGGCCTGATCCTTTCTTGGTTTATACCGAATGCCCTTTTGCAGGTTACCACTCGTGCTGTAGCCTACTTTTATTTTAAGAACCATACTGTTGAATAGGTCCATTTTGGCGATGTCAGGTGATCAAATATTTTTGTAATATACAGGACTTGTCTGCGCATGTGGGATCTCTGTCCTCTGTAACCTGATGAGAGTACACTTATTCTTAAAGACTGAAAGGTGAGAAACGTATACACCAATGGTAATGGATTTGATTCCACATGTGTCTCAATAACAAGTGTATAATAATACCTATGTAGTTACATAGGCAGCCTTAGTGTATAGGTTAGGCTATATTGTTAGCTGTTATACTTGTTTCACACATTAACATTTTATATCCATTTGATAAGTAAACAAACTCAAATTGATTGTTGCTAAACCTCCTCTTGCCCTAGAATTATCATCTGAATGCAATTACCATTTCATAGATAGGGAGGGACTCTTAAAAAAAACACTTGAGAAGTGGACCAAAGCATATCCAATATGTGGATGTGGATAACTGACCTTTTGCCTACTAACCTTAGGACTCTTGATGTACAGTTTACTAATTTATGCTATTGAATAACATGCTTGTATTCGTCACTATGAAAAAAGACTGTGATGCGATTTACATTGGCAACAGTAATCAATGTATCCTGAGAAATCATTGTTTTGTATTTCACTGCCTTGAAATGTATAGTCTCTCAAGTTACTCTCTCTACTCAGTTCAAACAATGAAGGCAGCAGTAAAGAGACATCTATGCAGAAGACACCAAGGCATCAAACCAGTACTAAAATTGGGCTAAGTGGAGCTCTCCAGTTCTTGTTCCTGTCGGTGATCCTGGCTGTAGTGGGCTCTCGGGTTGCCTCCCTGGTGGTTCTAGAGTTCTCCCTCAGAGCAGTGTCAGCTTGGGTCACAGCTGGACCAGTGAGCATTATAATAGCATAAATGTCACTAAGAATTACATGAAAAGCTCTCTCACATTCATCAGCCTTGATTCATCTCTCCTCTTAATTAATTTATCTCCTTCTCTCTGAATCTGCAGGAGTCCAGTAGGTTCCTACAGCAGCTGCTGGTCCAATGTCAGTTCTCCTTGGGCTGTGCTCTCAGCTGCAGTCTCCATTTCCTCCACGAGGGTGCGCCACAGCGCTGGCTCTGCCTGCTCATCACTGCAGGACTGAGCTGGTTCCTGGCCAGCCAGACTGGGCACCTACGGCTCCATGTCATGGCACTGTACAGACTACACAGTTCCCAGCGCTACTGTGGAGTGTGCATGACACTGCTAACATCAGGTTGCTCTCTGTTACCGTGCCTGACCAGGGCCCTTATGCTCACCTTTGCAGTGGCTGCCATTGCCGCCCTATCTACAATCAATAAACACTTCCTCTCAGCTACAGAGGCCCTCAGGTTCTGGACTCCACTGACAATCTGCTACACACTACTGGTGGTGTATATGCAGGGTGAGAGACTGAACATACAATAGCCTGCATGGGCAAACGTTTAATCAGCAGAATGTCAGAGACTATTTAGGTATTTTGTACATAGCAGAGAGCAAGTAAAGGACAAGCATATTGTTGTCATTCTCATTGAGAAATCTGATGAGAATTATTTTCTACTCAGAGGAGCAACATCGCCAGCCAAGTGGCCAGGCTGTTATAAACACAGTGGTGGTGCGTCTGGGAGGGCTCATGGTCCTGATGCTGATTGTCGGCCGCTGGGCAGATGTGCTCCACATCCTTCTGTGCTTCCTGGGTGAGGCTGGCTGTCTGATACCCTCCAGAGACCTGTTGGATGCTACAACACAGGTGAGAATGAGTGTCCCTCAATTGACCGTGCTATTCCAGCTTGCTGTACATTTATCAATCGATCTAAATATTTCTGTCATTTCAATGTATCTTACATAATAGAAATGTGTGTTTGTATGCAGGATATGGAGGAAGTTCCCATACATTCCCAGGGGAGTGAGAACCAGGGGGAGATGCCTGACTCCTGGAAAAGACCACCAGAGTTAGGCTAATCGACATGGGGAAGAAACTATTTGTGCTGGGACTCTTTCTTAGAGCATCAGTCTTAGATTATATTTTGTATTATTATTGATTATTGACAACAGTGTTTACTTTTATACCATGGGAGTATTTAATGAAAAATCTATTATGACACATCACCTAACCTTTTTAATAAGGTACCTTGCAATAATGTTATTTTCAATCCATGCAGAGCTCTTGGGAGATATGGATGATGCTCTTGCCATAAGAAAAGCACACTCAATTGTGGCAGTGACTGCTACTCTTTCACACAATTCCTTGGCCACAACAAGTCTCTTTGTTCTCAAATGTCACTGCCATTAAATTGAGCCTAAATATGTTCATTTTGGACCTTAGCAGCCCTGAACTAATGTAACAAATGCTGCTATAGTGTACAACATTGGTTACACATTTTATTACAGGCTACATCATCTGATGTAACAGTATCAGCTGCTGTAACGGTATCAATTGACACCAAAGATGTGATCATAATCTCCTGAACACAGGATGTTGATGGCGTGCAAATTCTTCCACTTTCTTTGGTTAGATTGTATTTCATCACAGGCAGGCTCATGTCATATGGTATATTGATGTGAACCATGTCCGACTCATCTTGAAAAGAAATTTACACAAAATGGCTGAAGCATAATAATGTTGGCACTTGTAAATCAGACAAAATGGCGTTATTCAAACTGGGTTTGCGGGCTATTTTCAGAAAAGACGAACAAACCAATCATAACTCGCTACATTGAAAATGTCAAATCGTTTGAATTCTGCCTCTCTTTTAATTGAGTGTCGACATACACTAAAGTATGTGTGTGTTAATAAATTGACAATAATTAGATCGAATATAAACATTAAAATGTAAATTAAACCTCCCACGAAAAGCCTATTCGGCACTGCTTTTTGTTGTTGTTGCTGTATGCAGTTAGGTCTACCTCATTTAAACCCCACATTTTGGCACCCACATAACATACTTTTATCAGATCCTTTTCTATCTTTTGACAGAAGTTTTCTGACCACTATTAATATTCGCAGATTGTATTTGACAGTAAGGGATTTCTTTGCCTGCTTCCAACATGGGAATGTTTATTCCGTTTATTTATTCCATGATAATTTGAAGAAGTGTGGATAATAAAACGGTGCCGCATGTTCAATATAATCCAGGGTCGACCAAGACCGAAGTTGTAAAGGAATATGGCATGGTATCGGTTTGGTAGTTCCACCACAAAATGCTTGTCTTGGACAATAAGACAATTTTACAATCCACGAGATTATTGGATTTTATTTAGCAGTTCCTTTTTACATCAGAAAGAAAAATTCGTTGCGTTGTTATTGGAAGGACACGATTATTTCCAAGAGCATTTATGTATGGAGTTCGTACAACAGCCGTGGAAATTATAATGTGTCTGTACCTCCTCGTTGACGACTGGACTCAACTGTAGCCTTTATTTCTATCTCTGGCCCCTTGGTAGGCGTGCCATACGCATGCGTCCTTGTTCAAATGCAGCTCCTTTTTTACCGCATTGCAGCGCATGCGTAGCCTAAGAATGGATTTGTTTTCTTCACGTAGGCCCACCCATCTTTATTCAAACTGTTTTTCATGAAAACTTCACTGTAAACTGTAGCCTACCGTACCATCAAGTCATTTGATATTTAATAACATTAACTTGGCTAGCCTATTGAACTTGCAACACCAGGACTTTGACCTATAGGCAATTATATCTTATCACCTTACTTTGTTTTTGGGACTTGTGGACTTGTGCCTGATTATGCAGTCAATTATTAAACAGAGCTCAGAAACGAGCAAAAGTGTTGAGTTACTGACATCTGTGGTATAGCCACTAAGTTGAAATGGCATTGCAACTCACTAAGTGTTGGAGCTAGAAACATAAGCATTTCGCTGCACCTGCAATAACATCTGCAACTCTGGGTACGCCACCAATAAACTTTGATTTGACTTATTCAAAAGAAAAAAGATATACACTATATACACAAAATAATGTGGACACCCTTCAAATGAGTGGATTTGGCTATTTCAGCCACACCCGTTGCTGACAGGTGTATAAAATCGAGCACACAGCCATGCAATCTCCATAGACAAACATTGGCAGTAGAATGGCCTTACTGAAGAGCTCAGTGACTTTCAACTTGGCACCGTCATAGGATGCCACCTTTCCAACATGTCAGTTCATCAAATTTCTGCCCTACTAGAGCTGCCCCGGTCAACTGTAAGTGCTGTAATTATGAAGTGGAAACTTCTAGGAGCAACAACGGCTCAGCCACGAAGTGGCAGGCCACACAAGCTCACAGAACTGGACCGCTAAGTGCTGAAGTGCGTATCGCGTAAAAATAGTATTTCCTTAGTTGCAACACTCACTACCGAGTACCGAACCGCCTCTGGAAGCAACGTCAGCACAAAAAATGTTCGTCAGGAGCTTCATGAAATGGGTTTCGATGGCCGAGCAGCCGCACACAAGCCTAAGAACATCAAGCGTAATGATAAATGTCGGCTGGAGTGGTGTAAAGCTCACCGCCATTGGACTCTGGAGCAGTGGAAACGCATTCTCTGGCGTGATGAATCATGCTTCACCATCTGGCAGTCCAACGGATGAATCTGGTTTTGGCGGATACCAGGAGAACGTTACCTGCCCCAATGCATAGTCCAACTGTAAAGTTTGGTGGAGGAGGAATAATGGTCTGGGGCTGTTTTTCATCTTTCAGGCTAGGCCCCTTAGTTCCAGTGAAGTGAAAACTTAACGCTACAGCATACAGTGACATTCTAGACGATTCTGTGCTTCCAACATTGTGCCAACAGTTTGGGGAAAAACCTTTCCTGTTTCAGCATGACAATGCCCCCATGCACAAAGCGAAGTCCATACAGAAATGGTTTGTCGAGATTGGTGTGGAAGAACTTGTATGGCCTGCACAGAGCCCTGACCTCAACCCCATCGAACACCTTTGGGATTAATTGGAACGCCGACTGCGAGCCAGGCCTAATCGCCCAACATCAGTGCCCGACCTCACTAATGCTCTTTTGGCTGAATGGAAGCAAGTCCCTGCAGCAATGTTCCAACATCTAGTGGAAAGCCTACCCAGAAAAGTGGAGGCTGTTATAGCAGCAAAGGTGGGGATCAACTCCATATTAATACCCATGATTTTGGAATGAGATGTTCGACGAGCAGGTGTCCACATACTTTTGGTCATGTAGTGTATTTTGTACAGGTAACGCACTGCTAGGTTAGTTATACAGTGGGGGAAAAAAGTATTTAGTCAGCCACCAATTGTGCAAGTTCTCCCACTTAAAAAGATGAGAGAGGCCTTTAAATTGAGAAAATGTTTTCCAGAAAATCACATTGTAGGATTTTTTAATGAATTTATTTGCAAATTATGGTGGAAAATAAGTATTTGGTCACCTACAAACAAGCAAGATTTCTGGCTCTCACAGACCTGTAACTTCTTCTTTAAGAGGCTCCTCTGTCCTCCAATCGTTACCTGTATTAATGGCACCTGTTTGAACTTGTTATCAGTATAAAAGACACCTGTCCACAACCTCAAACAGTCACACTCCAAACTCCACTATGGCCAAGACCAAAGAGCTGTCAAAGGACACCAGAAACAAAATTGTAGACCTGCACCAGGCTGGGAAGACTGAATCTGCAATAGGTAAGCAGCTTGGTTTGAAGAAATCAACTGTGGGAGCAATTATTAGGAAATGGAAGACATACAAGACCACTGATAATCTCCCTCGATCTGGGGCTCCACGCAAGATCTCACCCTGTGGGGTCAAAATGATCACAAGAACGGTGAGCAAAAATCCCAGAACCACACGGGGGGACCTAGTGAATGACCTGCAGAGAGCTGGGACCAAAGTAACAAAGCCTACCATCAGTAACACACTACGCCGCCAGGGACTCAATTCCTGCAGTGCCAGACGTGTCCCCCTGCTTAAGCCAGTACATGTCCAGGCACGTCTGAAGTTTGCTAGAGTGCATTTGGATGATCCAGAAGAGGATTGGGAGAATGTCATATGGTCAGATGAAACCAAAATATAACTTTTTGGTAAAAACTCAACTCGTCGTGTTTGGAGGACAAAGAATGCTGAGTTGCATCCAAAGAACACCATACCTACTGTGAAGCATGGGGGTGGAAACATCATGCTTTGGGGCTGTTTTTCTGCAAAGGGACCAGGACGACTGATCCGTGTAAAGGAAAGAATGAATGGGGCCATGTATCGTGAGATTTTGAGTGAAAACCTCCTTCCATCAGCAAGGGCATTGAAGATGAAACGTGGCTGGGTCTTTCAGCATGACAATGATCCCAAACACACCGCCCGGGCAACGAAGGAGTGGCTTCGTAAGAAGCATTTCAAGGTCCTGGAGTGGCCTAGTGTCACGACCGTCTGACGAATGAGACCAAAGCGCAGCGCGTTGAGTGAACATGACTTTATTAAATTAAAGTACTCAATGCCAAAACAACAAACAATGACGATACGTGAAGTCCACAGTGACAAAGACTGAATACGGAACAAAAACCCACAACACTAAGGTGAACACTGACAGTTTAAATACGGCTCCCAATCAGAGATAACGAGCCGACAGCTGACACTCGTTACCACTGATTGGGAGTCACACGACCAAACAAGGAAACACAACCAAAACCAAACCAAACACAACAAAACGAACACACCCTGGCTCAACATACAAAGTCCCGGAGCCAGAGCGTGACACCTAGCCAGTCTCCAGATCTCAACCCCATAGAAAATCTTTGGAGGGAGTTGAAAGTCCGTGTTGCCCAGCGACAGCCCCAAAACATCACTGCTCTAGAGGAGATCAGCATGGAGGAATGGGCCAAAATACCAGCAACAGTGTGTGAAAACCTTGTGAAGACTTACAGAAAACGTTTGACCTGTGTCATTGCCAACAAAGGGTATATAACAAAGTATTGAGAAACTTTTGTTATTGACTAAATACTTATTTTCCACCATAATTTGCAAATAAATTCATTAAAAATCCTACAATGTGATTTTCTGGATTTTTTTCTTCTAATTTTGTCTGTCATAGTTGACGTGTACCTATGATGAAAATTACAGGCCTCTCTCATCTTTTTAAGTGGGAGAACTTGCACAATTGGTGGCTGACTAAATACTTTTTTCCCCCACTGTACATCCAGGGATGAAGTGGTTTAAAAAAAAGGGTGAAACCCTGAGTGCTGTGGATATACCCTATGCAAAAAAACATCAACTTAAAAATAGGCTGGGACACCCTATTTACAAAATAAAAGGTGTTGAGTAAAGTTCACCCTCCACTATATCATTGACTGTCACAGGTTATAATCCTTGAGGGGTGGTTAAGCAGTAAAATGATCACTCTGTTATAAGTGTGTATTGGTTAACCAATCTCTCTCTCGTGACAATTGTGTGCTACAATTCTTGTGTTTTCCCTCTGTGTTTCTCATATGGATTTCAAACGTTATGTTCTGCTCATTTAAAACACCGGAAGTTAGCTATGTTTAAATCTTGAAGATATGGAAAAAGTATAGTCTATGTTTATGATTTTCCAATAGGCTACTTACTGCATTTTTTTCAGGTATAACCTATGTCTTATTCAGGGTGCAATTGGTGGTTTGTAGGTGATGGCACTGTCCAGTGGCGACCTGTCATTTTGAGCCCCACCTGTTTAGCTAACAAATAAATATATATATATATTTGTGTGCCTGTTTTGCATGTTATTTTGGCATTAATACGTGTCACGTATCAGTTTGCAAACAATGTAAAACAATTAATCATTGAGCTGCATACAAACATGTTCTCTTTTTTGCTTTCTTGAGTAATGCAGCTCCAAAATGCAGGTGTTTCAGCCTAGCTAAGTGCTTTCTGTGGTTGTGCGGCAGCCAGCGGAAAATACAGAGCGTGGTGGTAAGTAGTTCTCTAGTTGCGCCGTGATTGGCTCAGTGTTCTGTCACTCATTGGGACACTACGTCACCGCAAAATCTATGCGGAGAGTTCGAAAATGTAAGCCCCTTGGGTGCTGCCATAGAGTTACATACATTGGCCACAGATAAAATGACGTCAAATCATGTTATATCTACCGTAGCTTTGATTGGACTGATCATACTTTCAAAATCTTAGCTAGCAAGGTAGACAAGCAGTCATCATCATGAATCAATTCGACAATCTACTGGTAAATCATTTTCAAACCTTGTCATATGAAGATCAATTATAGATAAAACGTATCGGTGCTCATTGGCCATTGGACATAAACATAACACAACAAGTTGGAAATTGCAAATTCAACAATGAGTCGTTTGGAATGAATCAGTGACTAACTGCAAGCGTTGCAAAGCAATCACTAGCCTGCTATTCAGTGGAGTGGGTATGTGGTCCATGTCTGGGTTTAAAGGTCTCTTTTCCAAACTTAAAAGGATAAACATTCAACACCATGGGCCAGAAAAGATTGAATACATTGGCCATGCTGTCAATCCAGCATTACTTCTGCCGTGTTCACAATAACTGGAAAATCTCAGACTTCAAGACAACTTGGAACTCGGAAAAAAACCTAGCTCCCACTGGGAAAATACGTTATCAACGGTCATCCAACTCGGAATTCCAAGTTGGGAACTCAAGCCTCTTTCTAGAGCTCCGACCTGAAGATCACTGACGTCATGATTCAACCTTGTTGTTTTCAGAGTTCCCAGTTGTCTTGAAAGCACCATAAATCCAGAGAATGCCAGACTTTGATGACAAAATGTGCCCACAAGAAGGACCGCTGCGCCACCTTCTTGTTCAAGTGAGCACAGCACAAGATGAGATATGTATACTGTAGCTAAGAATGTGATACTAAGTGTATGTTGTGTAGTAAGCTGTTAGTAGCCCATGTGCCTCACCCTAATAATTTGGTCCCTTTCCCCCTCATAACTTTGCCTACTGTTCTGACTTGGTGGTGCACATGTAGCCTATAGCCTGTTTTAGAGAAATGTAATCATCAAATATTGTAAGAGCTTTCATTGTCTGCTTATATGCCCCCTTTATTCATCCTACGGTTCTGACTTGGTGTACAGGGAGAACACTTTAAGAACGGCCCATGTTCTGAATTATGTCGCTGTACATTTCAAAAGTGCTGAACATATAGTTAAATTGACTACATCCGTCCTAGCTCGCTCATTAATGTCTTAATCGAAATTACGGATTGCCTTTTATCCGCTCGTCATCCCCTTATGCCATAGTTTGTACATCTCAATTGTCAGTAGAAACCACATTTGTTTAAGCAAGTCAGCCATATCTGCTATATATTTTTAAAAGGCAGTAAATGAGGCTGAATGAACTGTTTCGCTGCCAAACAAGGCTCCGCTGACAGCCAGGTGTAGCAGTGGTAAGGATTCACTCCATGGTGCTGCAAAGAAAGCTCTGCTGTTGGGACAGCTTTATGTAGGCCCTAACAGTTTGTGGTCACCGTTATAGTGCAATTAATGTGTTGTGTAGTGGCTTTGATGGCACGCATCAAAACATTTGTTTTGTTTACCCCACCAAGATGTACATGCTAAAATCTTCGTCTACCCAAACCCCAAACTCATGCGTTCGATACCTACGCATGCGCAAGATGAAAAGGCGATCTCATCTGAAAGCGGAAAAAAAAACAGTTCACACACAGTGCCACGCGTGCGCTGTGTGCGCCTCATTACGAGCAAGGTTGCTGCATCTTTTTAGGTAGCTACAAGCATGATTTCGACAGCCAAAGGTCGCATGGTGTCAGGGACGCGCCTAGTCACGGGAACGATAATAGAGCGCACGCTAGTACGCCCAGATCGCGCAGAGTAAAGGAAATCAAACAGAGTGCAATAATTGAACCTAATGGTTACATTGGGTCAGATCAAACAGTTGATGATCTACGCACAATACTTTGCTGCGCTCAATTTCGCAACGTATTTTACTTTGTATCGGAAAAGATAAGGACATCACAAACTCTTCTGTATGATCGGGGGACAGGAGCGCACAGTATGGTCCGGGAAACCAGACATTTATGGGTGGGAAATTTACCCGAAAATGTACGAGAGGAGAAAATCATTGAGCACTTCAAGCGGTGAGTAAACGATCTTATGCCGAATATTTGATTGAGTAGCCCACAACTGTCTGCATCTGTCTGCCTGATTCCCCTGAAATCAGAAGATGATCAATCCAGGAGCGAATTGCCCAGGCAGTGACAGTAGCCTGGCTAGCCAACTGCCAGCAAACCAGCAACACAGGCTCACAAAACTCGTGTGAAGAGGAAGTCGATAGATATTCTAGTTGACTAACATGGACGTAAAAATTGCAGTCTCATGACCAACACCTGCATTTCGCTGTCTTGTAAGCCATCTTTCCCACACGGTGGACTTGGAAATAGCCTATAGTTAATTACTTTAGCAAAACAGCTATAGCTAGCACCACTGAATACTCTTGCCACTGTAGCATCCTACCGGTTGTGGTGTGTTAAGACAGTGACTTGAATTGTCTTTCATTGGTTTTATGGTTAGCCTAAACTTGCCAGTTGTGGAGAGTGTCTCGTGCAATGGAATTCTAACTAAGCAAAAACAATTGAGGTAGTTTCCAGTTCCGCTGAGACTCACTGCAACATTGTAGCAAATCTTGAGGTGGCTTGTGTGAAGTGATGCAGAGCTGACTTGCCAGTAACATCATACTGTGACTGAAATGGCGTCAATTAGCCTTATGTTATTAAATGTCAGTGGCTATAGCAGTTGACTATCAAATTAAACTGAAATGTTCATTGAATGTTTGCTATTAGTTGTTATTCAATTGATTAACATAACATTTGGTATAGATTACAGTGATAGCCTACAATGTCACTAAGATTTCCCTCCTTTACATTGGTTGCATTCATTAGTTGTGTAAACAAACGACCATATGATAATCATAAGCCCTAATGAAACTGTCAACATATAGGAATAAGAAACACGGCTACATATGGCACGGATCATATTCCCTATTGTAGCTTACATGTCGATATAGCTGATTTTTTTTTTCCCAACCATTTTTAACTTTCTATAAAAACGATAGGCTGTTGTTGAAAATAATACTTTTTCACTACTGAAATGTAAAGGGCAATATTTTTGTCACATTGTTCCATTATTATTACTTCACATTGTTATCAGTATGTCAAGTCAGATTTTTGATGGTAAAGGCTATCGTTTTTGTGCATTAAACATTTCCCAACATCTGAATACAGTTGGTTCTTGTTTCGACGCTATGTGCGCTCTCTAGCTCCATACTGGCTGCCAAGGAAAAAACGGCCCGCCTATCTTTCGGTCTAGGCACGAGGAGTAGCCTAATTAAAAGATGTGATATCCATATTATTTCCTTACGTTAGCTGAAGTGCTGCATTCATATAACATGGCTGTCTATCCTGTGTTGTAGGCTAAATGGCGTATGTATTTCTGCCACGATTTCAAGCGCAGGGTTTGCTATGCAGGACATTTAGACAATATTCATCAGACCATTATGACTTTGAGAATAGCCTACAAAATACAGTCCGAAATGGCCAAACGGACGCTTATTTAGGACTACTTTCATTTAAAGTAATCCTTAGTCTTTGATGGTATTGTCAGATGCATGAATTATGATAGCCTAACTGTTTTTCAAATCTTGCGGGGCATTTATGTCATGCTTATGATTTTAATGCATTAGTTACATCATAGGAATGTAATATGCTTAGGCTATAACACATCTAATAAGATAAACGGTTTGGACAATTTATCACAGACATTCGATATTGTTTGGACTTTTGAGGATGAAGCATTTTGTTGAGGGGAATGAGTGCGCATGGAAAACACATTTCGGGGTAGCCTACTCACTGCTCTTCAAGCAGCCTTTAGTTACAGCAATTGTAACAAGAAGCAGCCACCGTATGCAGGTGCATGACAGCTACATTTGTGATAGGAGTCATTGAAGATGGGGGACGGAAGAATGAGGAAGCAGCGTCAACGGTTTTCTAAAATGGCGTCGGAGGGTATTCAATGTGGGAACTGGCATAACACGGAGACAACACTTATGGCCATTCTCAGGGTGTCTGTCGGAAAATAAGCAGAAACAGGTTTATACTCTTGTTTTTATTGAATAGAAAAAAACGTGTTCCATGGAGTAGCCTAAGCTCTCCAAGACGTTGGCAAATAACTCCAATCAGAAATAACATCCAATCACGATTTTCTTTCTCCAGTTGTTTTATAAAAGCCATAGGCTACAATGGAAATACACTTTCAGGCAGTAATCCATTTTAATTATAGGCTACATTCAAGGTAACGATTGAAGTCACGTTTTCACATTTTCAAATATAGGAAAAAAAGAATTTTTCCTGTATTTCTCTTAAGCAAGCCTTATTGGAATGCCAAATGAAATTGTCCCATATAGCATAAAACATATTGCACCCACAAGCAAGAGCAAACCAGGAAATGTCACGTGTAGTTATGCTGCATTGTGCAGACCTCATCAGAGTTATGTCTTTGAATAGCTTAAAGGAGGGACCTTTCTCATAACTAGAATACTTCCTCTATTGAAAAATGTATGTATAGTGCTATGTGTCAGGATTTGTTGTTGCTTGGTTACTGTTGCCTGGTGAGGTTGGGAAATGACAACAGTGGCCTAATAAATGTTTTGTAAGGACATCCCTTTGTGGTTTCCCCTTCCCTTTCAATATTATAAAACACATAGGTCTACTTGATGGTGAAGAGTAGGCTCCTTTACCCATTGACTTCTTTCAATTTCCAATAAAACATGGCATACAACTTAAATCAATTAATTATTTGTTGCTGTTGCTGATTTCTTTTTCTTTTAATTCCCCCTTTCCTCCATAGATATGGACGGGTGGAGAGTGTCAAGGTCCTTCCAAAGAGGGGGTCAGAAGGTGGAGTCGCAGCCTTTGTGGATTTTGTGGACATTAAAAGTGCTCAGAAGGCTCATAATTCTATCAACAAGATGGGGGACAGAGACCTGCGCACTGATTACAATGAGCCGGGCACAATCCCTAGTGCTGTGAGAGGGCTGGACAATAGCCTGTCCTTAGGCTGTCGTGGGCGGGATGTTTCAGGGTTCACAAGGGCGGCAGGGGGCCTGGTGTATGGGCCCCCTGCATTGCTCCACAGCAGAGAGGGACGCTATGAACGCAGACTAGACGGGTAAGTGGACAAAGTTTCTCTGAAGGCAGGGGGAACTTCGTTTCTTGTAACGCCTTACCCCCAAGCATTTTCCACCATCTATTCATTTACTTGTTTGGGGGAGAAATAGGGGAAAATGAAAGAAGTTCATACGCAGGAATAAATCTGTAGGCATCCCTTACAAAGTCCTCAGAGCATCGCCATCGCTCATGGATTGATATGGTAGACACCAAGATATACTGTAAATGAGCATGTATGTACATCATGCACACAATTGTATTTCTATGTGTGTAGTAAATAGCGTATTGGCTGTTGGGGATTATCTTTGTAAATTTAAACATTCCTGTGAGGTGGATATCCCATTTGCAGAGAGTATGGGGCATATTGGATATCGTAAAATTGCCGGGATTAATGGATGCTGGAGAGAGTTTGTTCCAGCGGTCTTCCCTGGGATCGCCCTGATCTGGAGTACCATGCCCTCCTTGGTGGATTAATGGGTCATTTTCATATAACAATTCAACCAAGAATATATATTTACACATTAAAGACGCATTAATTAGTTTTTGGATTAGTAGAAACTGGGTCTTGATCATTCTGCACCCATTCCAGTGGTGTTTTCAAATGCATCACTTCCCTTGTGGTCTGGAGTCATGTGGATAACCTAAACCGGATATCTATTCCCCTGTTGGATTAAAACTGGCCAATCACAAAAGGATATTCTATCATTCGATAAAGTTATGGGTTTTCCGTTTTTGTGTGGGATTATGTTTGATATAAGGTCTTAAGAATTAAATGCTGGGAGACCTCTACTGTTGATCAACTTTGTAGAGAAACGACAGAAACATTGAGCAAATTACAAAGTGTTTTTATTTTTTATTCTAACTAATTTTGTTGGTGGTTCAAATTATTTTTTTGCTATTTTTTGCTCTTGAAAGAGTGAGACTGTCCAATGGATGTAGGGGGAAGCATTAAACAGAATCATGTATCTGAGGATTGGACTATTTTTGGACCATACAAATCAATACAATTACATGGAAATATGGGGGTGAAGAACATGGAACTGTGGATGTCAGTGCCAATACCTGTCTTCTGTCAGTGGATTACCTGCCTCCTGAATATGGAACTACATCTGTCCATCCTTGGATACAATTATTCCCAGAATCAGAACAGACAACATCCTGTCAACTTCTTACCAAAGAATACGCCTATTGCCTTTAAGGGAACTGTACATGTTAGGGAGAATCATTGGGTGAACTGGATTACTTCTGGCAAATAAACGGTGTTACGATCAGATATTTTTTGCTTCAATGGATCTAGTTGGACTATTGCTAAATTTTGCACACAGAATGTGACGGACTATTAAAGATGAAAGACTTTTCCAATAATCGTGTGCCATGATGTTCCAGACTCATTGCTCATGGGGAATCAATAGAGCACTGTTTACAGAAGCTGGACAATTGGATATCATTTCTTGATTTGACTGGACTCTGTTGCCTTATTTTCCATGATTTGATTTTTATCAGTTACATTTTATGAAACCATTTTTGAAAGGATAGTTTAGTCCTATGACTATTTTCCACCACAGTAGAATCTTGTTACAATTGGATTAGATTTTTGGATTATCTGATATTCCTGCCCCTCAAAGCAAGTGAGGATTCCCGCCAAACTGACGAGGATTACTATTTTGAACATAAACCTACCTATCCTGTGTGTGCTTTTCTCTGTGGATATATTTTTACATTGACTCTTTTTTGAATTAGCATTGCAAACAGCTGCTTGGAACAATGTATTATAATCTTGGCTGCAAGGACTTTTGTTTGAACATAAACCTACCAGAATGTTTTTGATCCATTTTTATGCCCACCCTATGATTTTTCCTTTTTTTGCTCACAAAGTTCTGTCTCCCTAGATTGTATTTGGAATTGTAGGTCGGGTTACCGCTGTCTCAAAAGGTTGGTATATCCTGCCCTGTGTATTTTAGCTGTTCTCTCTAACCCCTAGTTTGAACCCCTGTCTCTCTCCATATTTTTCACTAACAGAAGTAACTGTTAAATATACTGTTTAATTGCTTGTTGTTATTTGCAGACTCTGTACTTTTTACCTGCTGTCTCCCCTCACCTTGAACCTACCCTGCCCACTTCCCAGCTCCTAATCCCTGCTCTCCCTGGTCAATAGTACCACGTTGCTGAGGCATTTTTCACATTAAGTGAAAAATGTAAATATAGGCCAGATCATTGAAAACAGAGGAGTCATGCACCTCCTCTGAATGCTTTTTAAACCATGAACAATTACGTCAGATTTAATAGTTGCATTAGTTAATCAAAATCAGATTATATTCAACCCAATTTGAATTGCTATTGTATATTACATTTTACTGTCAGATTTGCCACAACTAAAGGGTTTATGCCAATGTTTAGATAGCTAGTCTCTCATTTTGGTCTTGCTACATGATTGTTAGTAGCCTAACCTTGGAAACTTGGTGTCAATTCCATTTTCTTCTGAGCCCAAGAGCAGGATAACTCCAGGAACAGATTCCTGATGTAGCAACCCTAATTGTCACAATTTACAATGTTGCATGTAAAACCAGAGAACTGGGATTATTATTTTTAGTTTGTTGTTATTGTAGGGAGCATGAAATATTTACACTAACGTCACAGTTTTTACATGATACTGGCAGCCGAAAAGTAGCTAAAAATGAGGCAGTGCCAAATAACTGTTATTCCTTATAAGGCTATGGGCAGTGCATGCACTTGACAGGAACACACCTACCACAGTAGCTAGCTAGTAATACACTCGCTGTATACATTACCAGCATGTGATGGTAATAAACAATTATAGATACAAATCCTGCCTTAATAGGTATAATTATTTTAGGATTCATGATTAATTCAAATACCATGAGTGTCAGGACAATGGAGACACTGTCATTGTACACACATTTGAGATTCAAATATTCAGAACCTATTTTGGCACTAACGCGGTTCTGTCCACATTTGGACTAAACAGCATAGTTGCAAATATCTACATGGAGGAGTTCGCAAAACTTTGAGTCCAAACCATAGAGCAGGGATCATCAACTAGATTTTGCCACAGGCCAATTTTATTGATGAGTGGATGGTCAGGGGTCCGGAAAATAATTTCAAATAATTTGTAGACTGCAAATTGACCGCAAGAAGCCCAAACGGATATAATATAATATTTGACAAAAACATAATAATGTCAAACCTTGCTTGCATTTGTATACGATCACGTGTCTCTCTATTATGCGTGGGAATACTTGGGAACAGATTTCCAAAATGTTAATTCACTTGAAGTGGATTTTCCTGGTGTTTTTAAAGTATTTTATGTCCAACATATAAAACAAGCCACCGGTTGGAACCCTGCCATAGAGAATGATAGAGGCCTCTAGTGACCATAAGGCTGTATTAGCATGGGCAGCGCCATTAAGGGCTTCCACCATTTTAATTGAGTCAACTGGGTGGGACTTCCAACTTCATTGGCTGATCCCTCATGGTGACCCTGTTGGAGTCATGTCCAACCAGGTCATCAGGAGGGATCAGCCAAATGTGAAGAAGAAAATTTACTACTTAAAAATGGAGATAGCCTCAATGGCGCTGCCCATGCTATCACAGATGGTATAATGGTACAGATAGAAAGAGGAGACCTCTATCTAGCTCCATTGTCCAAACATATCATGCAGCCATGCAAATCTACCTGAAAACATAAAACATGTATGTATTTGCTAACAGAAAAAAAGCTAGCAGGCTCAATTGTTAAGGAATAGCTAATTGCAAATAAAAATGTACATGATTTTTCCACTTAAGTTGACTGTTTTTGATTCACCCAGAATGGTTTTGATATGTATTTTGCTACTTAATAGCTAAACCTCATTCAGAAAATGTTTTAGGTTCCTGTCCTTTTAGCTACTTAATGTATCTAAAACAACTTGCAAACACTCCAATCCAAACTCTCTTCTGAATAATTTTTTTGAAAAGTCACTTAATTACGCAAAAATCTATTTTGTTCTGAAGGAAGATCCACTCCACCAGTTTGAGAACAGGCAGTACTATATTGTATTTTGCAATTCGCAAATGCCCCATTGGCCATTCTTCTTAAAGTAACATTAGTCGTGGTTTTGAAACTTTCTAATTGTGACTAACCAATCATTATACTTCTGTCATACTCATCACTTTATTCGGAAAGGAATTTATGGTAAAGCTTCATTTTACAGCTAGCTATGTATTGGGGAGTAATTTGAAATTAGATCGTAAATTGTATATTCGTTATACTTCGGTTTCTTTGAGATTCATAGACTCAAGCGTAGTAATGTACCAGGTAGTTACCAATTGTGTTTAATTCCTTCAGGTACAGAAGGAAAGTATCCATTGTTATCACAGTCTCTTATGCCATGTAAATAAGAGGTACCATCTTAAACCAGGCTGTATAAAGTGTTGCCGAAGTTACACAGCCAGCCCCTTCTAAATTGCGGCTCAATAAGTCACAGATTCATCTCATACGTATGAAAACATTAACTAATCATCTAAGTGTATTTCCTACATTGTAAACTCAGTGGGGACGCCCTGTTTTGTGTTCTATTTTCAAGTAGGCATGAATTGGGCTTTTTTAGTCCTCTGCCTTAATTCACACCATTGAAATATTTGTTGATAATTCATCACCTCGCTAACTCACGCATTTTTGATGGACCTCAACAGCCTCCTTACTGAGGTGGTGGTGTGCCTGCTATAAGAACATAAATGAGTACAATTGTATTCATTAGTTATCATTTCAGTGTACCTAAAATCTTTCGATTGGGATTGGAATGGAGTGTTTGTTCTGTGTTTTAGGCCATTCCAACATAGATGAAGGCTGTCACACCTTGACAAGCTACCAGTTAGGAGGTCTGGTGATTTTCTACTTTAGATAGCAAGTTACAGTATCTTGCAGGATAATCCTCAGAAACTGCTGCATTGTACTGATTACATAATTGATTATGGATAAGCGCGATATCTTTCTAGCTAGCAGCTACCCCTGTGAACTTACCTAAAAGCTAACATAACGAATTGTGCATTAACATTATGATTTTAATTGCACAATACAGTGAAAAACGTGTAATTGCGATATTTTAGGATTATCATAATATCTAAATCTAATCCTGGACATCCCTAATGATAAGTTAACATGCAAGCTCAGTAGATTAATATTGAGCTATCAACTACTTGTCTGGTGCCTGAAATGTTTGTCAGTTCCATTTAAAAATGGATTCCATACTTTGAAATAGCTTCCCGTCAAGAATATTTGTTGTATTGTTATTAGAGTTGCAAAATATAAACTGGAGTTAACCATCATCTTTGATCTGTCTGATCATGCACCATTAATGTACGGCTGTCCAGAATAGGATATATATATTTTTTAATAGCGTTAGGTTTTAGCACTACATCCATTGAAGTCCCCAGACTCTTGTTTTTGCTCTCTATTATATGGGTCATAAGAATTATATAGAAACTAGTTTTCTTTTTCTTTTTCTTTTCTGTCGAGCACATGTAATTCCATGTCCAAAATATCTTCATTACGTTTTCCAATTGAGAAGATTTGGATGTTCGTCAAACAATAGAAGAAAAAGAAAGTCACAAACAAGTGAAAGATTAATCGCCATGCATAGTTGTTCAATTTAATTTAAATAGAAATCAGAAAGTATCTGCATAAAAGTGACAAATTCTGCAAAAATAATGAGCAATATTAATTAATGAGAATTGTTTACAAATATCTAAAACTAAATATCTTGCTTAAGTAAAGTATGATATATCAATTGATATGTTTACTGTATATTTTAAGTCTCAAATAAACAGAAACTTCCTTTGAATACTCAACTTGACTGCTGTCTTAGTTATTTGATAGCCTGATACACTTTTATTTACCACCTTGTGAAGCTCAACTAGTTGACTACTAATTAGTGTCAAAAAGCATAACGTCTCTCTCTCTCTCTCTCTCTCTCCATTTCCTCCTTCCATCCCTCTCCCTGTCACTCAGGACTGCTGAAAGTCGGGATCGAGCATATGATCACAGTGCCTATGGACATCACGAGCGTGCTGGCAGTAGCTTTGACCGGCAGCGTCACTACGAATCCGACTATTACAGAGATACCAGGGAGAGAACGCTTAACACTGGCTCTGGCACTGCCAGTGGAGGTGGTGGGGCCGTCTCTGCAGGGGTCGTTGGAGGAGTTGTAGGTGCTGGCGTCAGTGCCTGTGGAACAGGTGGTGGGGCTGGGGCTGGAGGAAGTGGAGGATCTTCATCGGTTGGTGTGGGATATTATCGTTCACATAGCCGGAGCCCGAGCCACTTTGATACACCAGAGCCTCAATATGATACTCGACCCAGAGAACCCTTTATACTGGCCAGCATAGTTCACAGGGATCTGTACCAAGAAGAGCGGGGTCGACGTGGAGATCGATCTTACCCCGATAGTTGCAGCCGGTCTCCACACTCTTCACATTCACGTAACCTCTCTCCACAAAGGTTGGCGAGTCAGGCAACCTGGCCTCCCGGCTCACACAGTGGCTCCGGCTCTCGCAGTCGTTCCTCCAGTTCCAACTCTGCCAGCAGCACCAGCAGCAGCAACAGTGGCAGGTAGGTAGAGTGAGTACTCATTAGTTTCACTGTCATGCATTCTGTCCCCTGTAGTTATCATATGGTGTCTCTCAGTGGTGGCTCGTCCATTAAGGCGTTAGAGGCAGCGCCCCACTTGTGATTGGTCAAAAAAGTAAAAAGATATACACTACCAGTCAAAGGTTTGGACACACCTACTCATTCAAGGGTTTTTCTTTATTTGTACTATTTTTTTACATTGTAGAATAATAGTGAAGAGGTCAAAACTATGAAATAACACATATGGAATCATGTAGTAACCAAAAAAGTTTTAAACAAATCAAAATATATTTTATATTTGAGATTCTTCAAATAGCCACCCTTTGCCTTGATGACAGCTTTGCACACTCTTGGCATTCTCTCAACCAGCTTCATGAGGTAGTCACCTGGAATGAACCGGTGGAAAGTTGTCCTTTGGTCTGGATTCCAAATTGGAGATTTTTGGTTCCAACCCCTGTGTCTTTGTGAGACGCGGTGTGGGTGAACGGATGATCTCTGCATGTGTAGTTCCCACCGTAAAGCATGGAGGAGGAGGTGTTGGGGTGCTTTGCTGGTGTGATTAGGCTCTGTCGTAGCCGGCCGCGACCGGGAGACCCATGGGGTGGCGCACAATTGGCCCTGTGTCGTCCAGGGTAGGGGAGGGAATGGCCGGCAGGGATGTAGCTCAGTTGGTAGAGCATGGCGTTTGCAATGCCAGGGTTGTGGGTTCGATTCCCACGGTGGGCCAGTATGAAAAATTAAAACAATTATGTATGCATTCACTAACTGTATGTCGCTCTGGATAAGAGCGTCTGCTAAATGACTAAAATGTAAATGTATTTAGAATTCAAGGCACACTTAACCAGCATGGCTACCACAGCATTCTGCAGCGATACGCCATCCCATCTGGTTTGAGCTTAGTGGGACTATAATTTGTTTTTCAATAGGACAGTGACCCAACACACCTCCAGGCTGTGTAAGGGCCATTTTACCAAGAAGGAGAGTGATGGAGTGCTGCATCAGTGACCTGGCCTACACAATCCCTCGACCTCAACCAAAATGAGATGGTTTGGGATGAGTTGGATGGCAGAGTGAAGGAAAAGCAGCCAACAAGTTCTCAGCATATGTGGGAACTCCTTCAAGACTGTTGGAAAAGCATTCCAGGTTAAGCTGGTTGAGAGAATGTCAAGAGTTTGCAAAGCTGTCATCAAGGCAAAGGGTGGCTATTTGAAGAATCTCAAATATAAAAAATATCTTGATTTGTTGAAAACTTGTTTTGGTTACTACATGATTCCATTTGTGTTTTTACATAGTTTTGATGTCTTCACTATTATTCTACAATGTAAAAATAAAGAAAAACCCTTGAATGAGTAGGTGTGTCCAAAGTTTTGACTGGTACTGTATATGTAATTAATGGATTATCTTTAAAATGCTCATAAGTGCTGTAAATGTGTACATTTAACAGTTTCAAAAATATTGTTCAAAACAAGCTGTTCAATTACCTAATACACCAATGAGATTGCAGGATTACAGGTCACTGCACTAAGTACAGTGCATTCGGAAAGTATTCAGACCCCTTGACTTTTTCAAATTTTGTTACGTTACAGCCTTAATCTAAAATGGATTTTTTTAAAAAAAATCCTCATCAATCTACACACAATACCCCATAATGACAAAGCGAAAACTGAATTTTTACAAATGTATTAAAAATAAAAAACAGAAATACCTTATTTACATATGTATTCAGACCATTTGCTATGAGACTCCAAATTGAGCTCAGGTGCATTCTGTTTCCATTGATCATCCTTGAGATGTTTCTACAACTTGGAGTCCAACTGTGGTAAATTCAATTGATTGGACATCATTTGGAAAGGCACACAGCTGTCTATATCCATATGTAAAAAATGTATGCACACATGACTGTAAGCTCTCTTTGGATAAAGGCGTCTGCTAAATGGCATATTATATTATTATATATAAGGTCCCACAGTTGACAGTGCAGGTCAGAGCAAAAACCAAGCCATGAGGTCGAAGGAATTGTCTGTAGAGCTCCGAGACAGGATTGTGTCGAGGCACAGATCTGGGGAGGGGTACCAAAACATTTCTGCAGCATTGAAGGTCGCTAAGAACACAGTGGCCTCTATCATTCTTAAATGGAAGAAGTTTAGAACCACCAAGACTCTTCCTAGAGCTGGCCGCCCGGCCAAACTGAGCAATCGGGGGAGAAGGGCCTTGGTCAGGGAGGTGACCAAGTTCCCGATGGTCACTCTGACAGAGCTCCTGAGTTTCTCTGTGGAAATGGAAGAACCTTCCAGAAGGACAACCATCTCTGCATCACTCCACCAATCAGGCCTTTATGGTAGAGTGGCCAGGCGGAAGCTACTCCTCAGTAAAAGGCACATGACAGCCCGCTTGGAGTTTGCCAAAAGGCACCTAAAGGACTCTCAGACCATGAGAAACAAGATTCTCTGTTCTGATGAAACCAAGATTGAACTCTTTGGCCTGAATGCCAAGCGTCACATCTGGAAGGAACCTGGCACCATCCCTACGGGGAAGCATGGTGGTGGCAGCTAGCTAGCAGCATATCAAGTTAGTGGGGTTTTCTTGAGGGCTTGAACGCAGCCCGCGACGCAGTTAGCCATTGTGGCTGGGACCGCGGATTGTCCCAGGTTTCTGGATGTCTAGATCCCTGCTGTTTATTGTTTTCAATCTTCCCTGTGACCTGCCCTGTCTGGAACTGCAAGGAGTAACAGCGTAACCTACGTTGCTAGCTACCATGACAAAGACCAAAGCCGGCGGGAGTACCGTTGTCAAGGACATTGGTGTCTCTCTATCACACGTGAAGGATCTTTTAAACCAGGGGTGTCAAAGTCAAATGGACGGAGGGCCAAATAAAAAATTTAGCTACAAGCCGAGGGCCGGACTGTTCGAATGTTCATTGAAAAATTTTTAAATGACGCATATAGTCTAGTGAACCTAATTGAACCTACTGAAAACCTAACAAATATATTCCAATATGATCAGATAAATAAAGCAATATTTTCTTATGGCTCTGTCAGTAATCTTTAATTTTCAACAGACACAAAAGACAAATTTCCTTTATATAAAAATCCCCATAACATGAACATTAAATGAAAGAAACCGGTATTCAAGGCACCATCAGTAGCCTATATTTTCTATTTTAGCAAAAGTGGGCTAAATTTACTTCAAAGAAAAAAACAATAATAGCAATTTTCTATCATCCACTCAACTGAAATATTTTTTAAATATAATTGGATTGAAATACAATAAAATAAAGTGCAAAAATCTATTAATCAAAAACAACACTTTGTTTAAGGAGAAGTAACATGCAGTGAAAACAAATATTAAACTTTAACTTTTAAACTTGAACTGAGTAAAAACTCTAAATATGTGATTGCACAGTAATGTTCACTTGTTTGAGGTTGAGGGTGATACTTGGTGGTGTCCCATCTTTTCCACAAGTTCATCAATCAATTTTGTAGCCTTTGTTCCATGTCCATATTCTTGTTTTTGTCCGCGTGTTTCGTTTCATAATGTCGTCTCAGATTATACTCTTTCAGTACCGCCACACTTTCTCCACACAGAAGACACACAGGTTTTCCAGCTACCTCCGTGAACATATACTCCGACTCCCACCTTGTTTGAAACCCCCGGTTCTCAGTGTCCACCTTCCGTTTTGCCATTTTTGATGGGTATCTGAAAGTTAATTTTACTGTGATGCTGACGACTGCTGTGCCAATAAATATTGAAATGAAGCAGCCTACTGCTCGGTGCGTCACCGTTGCATTGTGGGAAATGTAGTATTGGTGCGTGTAAAAGATCTGCGGGCTGCCGGCTTGCTGCGGTCTGCGGGCCGGTTCTAATAATAAATCAAGATCATCCCAGGGGCCGTAAAAAACCTTCTCGCGGGCCGGATGTGGCCCGCGGGCCTTGACTCTGACATATGTGTTTTAAACAAACAAAGATAGTTCCACAAGTAGTTGTTCAAGTGCTTTGTCCAAATACTAGTGGATTCGACTAATACAAAAATGGACGACCTGACCAGAGAGGTCCAGGACCTAAAGAACAGTTTGCAGTTCTCCCAGGGTCAGCTCGATGAGTTGATACAGGAGAACGGCAAGATCTGTAAGTCATTGAGAGAGGACATCAGTTCTGTCTATGAATCCATGATAACAATGATGGATAAATCTCGAGGGACAATCAAGGCTTAACAACATGTTTGTGGACGGAATTGCAGAATCTCCACATGAGACCTGGAAGGAGTCTGAGGACAAAGTGAGGGAAATGATCTCTGAGAAATTGAAGATGGACCACAGGAAGATTGAGGTGGAGTGCACCCACAGGATTGGAAAACCCACCACCGGCCCAGGTGACAGGCTCATGCCGATAGTGGTCAAGTTCCTGAGGTTCAAGGACAAGGTAGCTGTTCTGGAAAGAGCCAAGAACATGAGAGGAACGTATCTTTCTCAACGAGGACTATCCTGAAGCTGTGAGCCAGAAGAGGAAATAACTTATTCCAGCCATGAAAGCTGCCAGAGCGCGTGGGGACATTGCTTACATCCGCTATGACGGGCTCATTGTCCACCCTCCCTCCCAGAAGCCTGGAAGGGATGAGAGAGCCAAGCCTATGGGTTCGTAGCTTCAACCTCGCAGCACGCACACACACACACACAATTGATTTATGGACTGCTGAATGTATATTTTTTTATCTTGTGTTGTTTGCTCTTTCCAGTATTATGTCTATCTCTGATAAGCTACCCAGGAAAGGGATGAAAATAGCCCATATTAATATATGTAGCCTTAGAAATAAGGCTAACATCAGATAACATTCATATATTAGCCATTTCTGAGACTCACTTAGATAATTCATTTGATGATACAGCAGTAGCAATACAAGAATATAACATCTATAGAAGAGACAGAAATGCTTATGGGGGAGGTGTTGCTGTATATATTCAGAGCCAAATCCCTGTAATGCTT